GCTTATTGTGATGTTTATGGGTTTTGCTAAGCGCTGAAACCTGATGGTTTGTAAACTCGTCTACGCCGTCAAGAACGAAATGGTAATTTGCAATTACAGAAACAATGCAACGTAGAAGAAATTGCTATATTTCCTGCTGGTTCGGAAGGGTTTTCACAAAAAAATCTAAATTGCTCGGTGGAAGAAGGTCTTAAAAGATTTAAACAGGTCGCGGACGAGGCCGTTCGTGACGGCTTGCGAGTAAGGGGATATATTTCATGTGTTGTTGGTTGTCCCTACGATGGACCGATTCACCCGAAAAATATTGCTAAGGTAGGTAAAATAGTGTCTATCATGCAAATTTTAGAATCAATTACTTTGAAATTATCCAGTTTCTTTTTTAATATAAGTAAAGAAGTCTAATTATCTTCTATATAGCGCCATAACTTTCAGAGCCCACATTGATAGTATTCTCAGAAGATCTTCTCGAATATCTGGTTTTAGAATTAGACAAATGAAAATATGAAGCAACCACATTAACTTACAATATACTTGTTGTACAATGATGCGAAGCATTTTTGAGTATGGTCGTGTTCACCGCATACTCACGTGAACACAACAGTTTATTATGTTTTATCTAAAAGCATTTCATTTACTATTATACAACTGGTACAGTGAGCGTCTTATGCACTAAAATACAATACTTTTAGAATCGTAAATATCTTATTTCTCTTTGATATACTACACGACGGCACAAATTCTAAAAATTACTCTACTTTCCCTTAATTTATTTTATGGGCCTTGAGCCGAACTTCTCACGAGGAATCTGCGCCTAAGAGGCTCGCCTGGTATGTGGGGCTAGACGGTCTCCACATGTTGGAAGCAGACCGCGGACCAAAGGTGTTTTTGGGACCCAACCCACTAAACGACTTCCTTACACTCGCACAAGCGTCGAATGTCTTCCCGAGATGGATCTTAGGATAAGGGGCTTACTGCGCAGCTCATCCCAAAGACGCTCGGCCGACGGAATCTTGGAGGCAAATCGAAGGCTCAGAAACACGTCGGCCGACTCGATACGACAGTTCGTCAGGCTGCATGCTTGTTTGTCTTCCGAAGCAATACCTAAGTAAAAAATAATATGGATAGTCGGCAACCCTATCTATACCAAAAGAGCCCCATAAAAAATTTATGTATTGGCAATAAGAATAAGCTTACAATCTCGTATCAATACTTGATTTCAAATAAGTACGTAGACAACTGAATTGCTATAATAAACCCATAATTGGTACAGATAACAGAACAATTGATTGCGATGGGCTGTTATGAAGTATCGCTTGGTGACACGATTGGAGTAGGCACGGCCGGCTCCGTCCGCCGACTTCTTCATGAAGTCCTCACTGTCGCAAAACCGGAACAACTAGCCCTTCACTTCCATGACACATACGGACAAGGACTTTCCAATTTACTAGCTGGCCTCGAAGTAAGTTTGTTAAATGTTATGTACCTTTTTTTATTATTGAAGTATTACTGGTGGCCCGGAGGCCTTTCCAGTTTCCCCAGAACAGGTGGGCGAACAGGTGGGTGGCCTTAGTGAAAAGTGGTGGGATTTGCTATCAAACTGCCCGAGCGCCTCCGAAAGAAACTTAACAACTCAAGAGCAGCTGCTTCGCGTATGAATCTACTACCGGATCGGAATCGCGACCCGCTGAGAAAATCCGGCGAGAAACTCAGCGAGCTGATGCATGGATTAGGTTGCACGTCGACCTCTTTGTCGAGCTCGACGAGTACGGTTACCGGGGTCCCTAGGCCTGCTGCTAGTGTTAGAGCTGAATGTATCTAATGCAAGAGTTATTGGATCTGATGGATCCGTAAGGGTGTGTGTTATGTACTATAATACATGTGTATCAAACATCAGCCCATAGACCGTACGTTGGCCTGTCTTATCTACGCCATTTAAAAAGTGATATGATAAATCTCGACTCTGGAAGCACAAGGTCGATTATCAATAATTAAAATTTTTCAAATTAAACATTTCAAATTGTAATCGTATTTTACATATAAATATGTAGACTATATTTAGAATATGATTACTTCAAGTTACAGAAAAGGAAAAAAGTACGTGCGACCTTGCGTTTCTCGTGTTGATATATTTAGTTATCATCCAAAAGGTGAATAGAAGTTGGCATGCAAGATTTCCATTGAAGAGACAATAACAGATTTACGAAAAAAAAAAAATATAAGTATCCAAATGTGTAAAAGGTAGTACTTATAAGTGTCGTCACTTTGTTTCGTGGCAAATAACGTATCGTAGAAATGTAGTTCTATTCAATTTGTTTAAAGCAAGTAATAATTTAAGAAATAAAATTTAAACAAAAGTTTAAACAAACTTTAAATATTAAAAATATTTACATTCTTAGCGACATGTTTTATATCTATACCTACACTCTGAGCTGTTATCTGTATTCTTATCGGGCTGAAGCATTCTTTACCTAACAATTGTGGTAATACAGCCTTGCTGGCCATATCATTATCTGCATTCAATTTGTTTTTGAATGCATTGTGTTGGAAAAGATTTTAGAATGTAATAACGATTTTGTAATTACACGTTAACTCATTAAAAAAGACGATTGATTAATTCATTAACATTCTAGCTTCTCTGTTTTAAATTCAGTTGTTACATTTACGTGACTTAGCGTTGATCTAATCGAAATGGATTAAACAATACGCATTATGTAGATAAAAACAACAGTTTTGTTCTTTGTATTGATACCGTTATCATCAAATAGAAGAGTATTTTGTAATTCACACATATCTTGTCTCATATATATCATTTTCAATGCAACATTAAACTTATAACACAACCAAAGGCTCCTTTGATACATATACCAAATTTTTATAGCGGGGGAGATGAACTGCAAGAGATTCACAGCCCGTTTCTTGTCTATCTACTACCATAATGTATCTTATATATTATGTAGAGTAGAGCAGAGGGTTCCGAACAACAACATTCGGACTGTCGGTCTACCGAGCAATATCACCCGCTCGGTGGAAGATCTTCCCATCGTCGTTTTACCTACAACTGGTGACCCCGGCGTGATCGGAGGGGAGTGATGTGGCGGGTAGACATCATAAAACGCAAAGTTTAAAAAAAAGACCGTCGGTCTACCGAGCAATATCACCCGCTCGGTGGAAGATCTTCCCTCCGACGTCAAGCTCCCCACACAGTTATTGTATAGTATATTAAAAGAAAATGTGTGAAAAGTATTTAAATCGTACCACGTTTATCCTTTTTTCATATTGGCTAGGTGTACCAGCCGGCCCTCCTGATTTAAGTGCAATTTTACAATTCAATTAAAGTTTCCAATGGAATTTTATATTAATTACTCGAAGGAATAGGAATGTTAGTCCGCACGGGTAGGTACCACCACCCTGCCTATTTCTGCCGTGAAGCACTAATGCGTTTCGGTTTGAAGGGTGGGGCAGCTGTTGTAACTATACTTGAGACCTTAGAACTTATATCTTAAGGTGGGTGGCGCATTTACTTTCTAGATGTCCATGAGCTCCAGTAACCACTTAACACCAAGTGGGCTGTGTGCTCGTGTTTTAAGCAATAAAAAAAAATACGAGACAGCTGGAATTACAGTGAACAGAGACTTGGCTGTTTCGTTAGTACCCATGTACATGAGCGAAGGTAAGGTATTATGACAAACAGTAGACATGTCTAAAAACATAAGTTAAATTCACCTAGCACAGACTATTAGAGCAGACAATCAACGGAGGCACCAATAAAATAAGTAATAACAGACGCCACTAACGTAATTTGTCATTACTTTTACAATTGGTTTACTATTTAAAATTTTAAAATGTGCCTTCAGACTAGCACTTAGGTAGTACTTACTATACTTACTATAGAAAATTCTGCTCGGCGAAGCGATAAGTTCCGGTCTCAGGGATATTTTTTTAAAACAATCGTAGGCAGATCATCTTGCAACCCACCTAATAGCCAGCGGTCAACGTATTTCATAGACGTTAATAATGGCGGGGGAGTACAGCCCACGGAGTTTCTCGCCGGATAATCTCAGTGGGTCGCGTTTCCGATCCGGTGGTAGATTCTGCGAAGCACTGCTCTTGCTGGGGCCAGTGTTAGCACCACTCCGGTTTGAGCCCCGTGAGCTCACCTACACGTTAGGGCGAAGCTGAAATAGCCTCTCAAGGCTATCAGAATAGGTAGGAAAAAAAATAACAGGGGTAGGTACAGTGAAGCTGCAGCCTACCTCGAATACGCTCCATAAATCTCCTGTAAGCCTGTCTACCATCGTTAGCTCATTTAAAAAAATCCACTCATCAAACATCAATCTCAACATGATATTCATGTTTCGTTCGACAATTCAACAACTCTTATTAATACGACAAACACTCGTGTATTAAACTTGTATACGTACGTCATTGAGATAAATTTAACCTGTTTTGTTTTTCAGTTTGGTATTAAAACAGTAGATTCTTCCATCTCCGGACTCGGCGGATGCCCGTATGCACGCGGCGCGAGCGGTAACCTTGCCACCGAAGACCTAGTCTATTTCCTGTATGGCCTGGGAGTCAACACTGACGTAGACCTAGTAAAGATTATAGAAGCAGGTCGATACATTTCCAACTTCCTTGGAAAACCTACCGAATCCAAAGTTAACAGGGTGATTAGTGATAGATTTACTAATTACAGAGATATTGTCAAACTAGCGTCTTGTAATTGTTCATAGAGATAATTAATATTACAATAGCGGTTTAAGCTCAAAAACAAACACTCGATAATTGTGATAAGATATTTATTCCATACACAACTCAACAAATATTTACTTTTGTATCTAAGTAAACACAATAAACGATTTGTTATTTCGCTTTATTTGATGTCTTATTATTTATTACAATCTGCTATTCGATAAATACATGACAGTGGTCTTGAACGCAGTCCGATATACCTACCGGTTTTTATCAATTATTATATTATCATGCAGAGTGGGTACGGACTAACGGACAGCGATGGTGGTTGGAACGGGCTCGCACTAGTGTGGCGGGCGCGCAACAAAACGCTCGCTTGTACATGTACACAGCTGACCTTATTTATCCAATTTGATCTTGAACGAGAGGTCGATAAACCTTTATTGCATAGTGTGAACATACTTCCAAGCCATCCAGTCGAACTGGAAATTGGTTTTAGTTTGTTTGTTTTTATGGAACGCTCAAAATGGTGGAAGTCAAAATAACTGATGACATTAGAATTGGCGGCAATAATCCGTGTTTTATAATAGCGGAAGCGGGACAGAATCACCAAGGTGACATCGAGATCGCAAAAAAATTAATAAAAGCTGCTAAGGTAAGTGATTTTACATTTTTACTCAAAAACAACACACAAAGGAATTGCTAGGTGTTCCGGTTGCATTGTATTTTTGTTATCACTACTTATCCAAACCTACAATCGCTTTAAAGATTGTATTCCGTCTTATAGCAGTACCAAGATATTACTAAAGAATAAAAAACTACAAATTGTGAAAGGAGGTTTTAAAGTGAAACAAATGTAAACATCATCCAAAGCGTTTGTGTTGTCATTCTCTTTGTGAACACATAAAGTGTTAACTTCCAAACATGCTCCGTAAAATATTAATTAAGTCACCTTTTTAAATTGATTTTATTATAAAAGTTAACTTTGTTGAAACACCTATTAAATAAAACAAACAGTAAATTATGAGCCGATAAACTGCGCTAGCGCTAGTCAGCAAAGACGAATTGCGTAATAGCCAAATATAAATTGCACTTTGTCTTATTGATTCATTAAATTGAAAGATGATGTCTTGATGAAACTATCTTCTACCTATATCTTATAGATGTCTTTTACCAATGAAATACTATTATTTACTAGTCTCGTTAACAAAACACACCTACAAACTTGAAATTTACAAAATTTTAAATGGGTAGGTGCATTTGACGTGCATTTGATAATAATCATATCTATATTAATTCTGGATTAAAAACCTTTTTATTTTACAGTAAAACCGATTGATTTAGAAAGAGTTTTTATATTACAGGAAGCTGGAGCCAGCTGCGTGAAGTTTCAAAAGACATGTCTCGGCGAGAAATTTACAAAAAAATATCTAGAAAGGCCTTACGACAACCCAAACTCGTGGGGAAAGACTTATGGAGAACACAAAAGTCATTTGGAATTCTCCGATACACAATACAGAGAATTGTTTAGATACGCTCAGGAGGTCGGGATTTTATTCACCGCCTCTGCCATGGACATGGTAAGTTTTTTTAGCATTCAACTTAGAGTTATAAAGTCCGCTAGCTATATCTGTAATTCTGTGTAATTTCAAGTAAATTTCGCCCATTCTATAAACAGCATCACATCCATCTATTCTTATTCACGTGCTTCGAAAAGTAAAAATCACAGATTCACGAATACGAATCAACAAGTTAAAAGTACATACATAATATTTAAGTACATGTATGAGTAGGTACGAAATCATAATCTACTGCTAAGTGGCGCTGTTTGCAAAACCTTTGCATTTAACGTTTGGTAATCACGCACATTAGTTTTTAATTTATGCAGGTATATTGCACATAATATGTAGTACGTTACACTGTTATTCAATATTTTCCAAAGAAACTAGATAGCACATGCAAACATTCGTAGGTCGTTATTATGGATGTGACTTTTAGAATGGCTTAATGTAGGTATACAAAATTGCTTAAACTAATCTACCATAATAATATTATTAATACTAATAAAATTATACAGAAGCCGCAATCGACTAGAATTTCATTTCTCGTTAGGATTTGCGCTACAAGGAAATGTTTGTTTGAAATTGAATGAATTTTACGGAAGCGGAACAACAAGCTTAGAAATACACGGATCTCGACGTTTAAACATAAATAAACGATATAATGAAAACAACTTTATTGCGCTGTCTAGATGTATAGGAGCTTCAATTTAAATTTATTCATTTTTAACTATAACAATAATGTAAATACGAATGAAAACTACCATATTTTCGCGGGCAAGTTCAATGCACGCCTTACGACTGTGGTTACCGGAACCCATAGACAATAGGCGAGTGTTTATGAGGGCGAAGTCTCAATGCATTGTAACTGCCGTCCTATTCTTCAAACCAGAACGCGTCAATCCTTCACCGGTCACAATAGGTTACCACTAGTAAAAACAATTGAAAAGAAAAAAAAAACTATTAACACATTATAACACCAAACTATTATGACCGTCATTTGTACAGTAAAATTACGCATTTTATTTATTATTATTTTTACAATTTAGCTAGTTACCACTTCTTTTAAAAAATAATTAATAGAAACTTAATGAGAGTAGGACAGAAGCCAAAATTAGAATAAGACACATTATATTGTTAACGACAAAAAATCCTGTTTCTTTTTTAGGTATCTTTTGACTTTCTGGTTAACCTAAAAGTACCATTCATAAAAATCGGCTCAGGGGACTCGAACAACTTGCTCTTTCTAAAGTACGCTGCTTCGAAAAAGATTCCTTTAATTATATCAACGGGNAACTTAATGAGAGTAGGACAGAAGCCAAAATTAGAATAAGACACATTATATTGTTAACGACAAAAAATCCTGTTTCTTTTTTAGGTATCTTTTGACTTTCTGGTTAACCTAAAAGTACCATTCATAAAAATCGGCTCAGGGGACTCGAACAACTTGCTCTTTCTAAAGTACGCTGCTTCGAAAAAGATTCCTTTAATTATATCAACGGGGATGGTCGACAAAACTGCCGTAAAGACAATTTACGATATCATTTCCTCGGACCACAAGCAGTTCTGTTTGCTTCATTGCATATCGGCGTATCCGGTGCCATTTGAAGACTGCAATCTGACTGTTTTACAAGACTATAAGAATACTTTTGACGTTCCCGTCGGATACTCCGGTCAAGAGCTTGGCACCGCAGTCGCACTGGGTGCGGTTGCTTTGGGCGCAAAGGTACTGCAAACCAATCTTTAGTACTAAGAATATATTAATTATACCTTATATATGTATATCAAAATACTTTTCGGCTTAAGTGATTGCCAAAAAATCTTTTTTTTTGTCCCCCGTCTTAAGGCACGACATTCGCTACACTCTCAAGCTGTATATATTTTTATTTCGCTTTATATATCTATATTATTGTTTTTAGACAATACATTTGTAGCAAATTTATACTGATGTGAATAACGTTGATCGAATTTTAACAACGATGTCGTTTGGCATTTTTTTTAATTAGAGTCCTATAGAGGGGAATTTTGCTTGCATATAAAGTAGTGGAATAGTACATTACATTACTGTTTATAATTTTATTGAGAATGGGAAATGTATTAAATTCTGATCCCGTATTCGGAATACTAGTGATTATTTAAAAAATATATGAAACATCGTTTTTCATATTAATAGAGGTTCACCAGAAATGTGTATCTATCGAGATTGTTCCATTGTATAACCGATACACCTTATAGTGGAAATGTTTATTTGGTAGGTAATATCAACTCAGTGAACGGCCTCCGATAGTTGATGGCAACACCATACATAATTCATAGATAGTTACAGTACAGACCATAATAACAACACATAAATCAGTACAGATTACTATTGTAAAACGGCTCCTTCATATTTCAGGTGCTAGAAAAACATATAACTCTGGATAAAAGCATGAAGGGAACTGACCACGTTTGTTCATTAACTCCGTCCGAGTTTCAGCAACTGGTTCGCGACGTGCGCGTCATCGAAGCCTCACTTGGAACTCCCATTAAAAAAGTAGTGACATCAGGTAAAAGTCCTCAAATTAAGACTGTTAATTTGAAAATCTCAAGTGATTCGCTAATGACGCTTTCTTTTTCGTGATATAGTAATTTAATAGTATATAGTAAAAACTACTCTTACGGAATTAACCCATAGACACAGGCCACTGAGTTTCTCGCCGGATCTTTTCAGTGGGTAGCGTTTCCGATTCGGAGGTAGATTCTGCGAAGCACTGCTCTTGCTAGGGTCAGTGTTAGCAACACTCCGGTTTGAGCCCCGTGAGCTCACCTACACACGTTAGGGTGAAGCTGAAATAGTCTCCCAAGGCTATCAGCATAGGTAGAAAAAAACTTACGGTTTACATCTGGATTTTTTTTCCTTCAAAATTCGTCTGGGAAACATTATATGTATGTTAAAACAAAGAAGGAAATTGTCGTGCCGGCTCATTCAACACCATCGTTCGAAATAAATAAAAATGCGAGATCAAACCGTAAATTTAGTTTTACTTCTGTCTAAGACACGCTAAAACTGGAAAAATACACTACACAGTAATAAGTCATACCTATACATTGTACCCCACATCACGTGGTTTTATTCAACAATAAAAATTGAAAGTCGGTGCATATTAAATGGATGTCATCATCGTTATAACTGAAAAGAATAATCACAATTTTTACGTCTAGTATCTTGTGAATTGCTTAAATTAAGATTTATTTATGCTGGCAATCCTAAAAAGACCGCAATTTAACTTTGTGTAAATTGGCAATAGTACCGCCTTTGTAAATATTTCTGTGTCATAAATGGTAGACGTTACCATATTCAGTATCTGACAAGTGCCTTGAGACATGCCTTCAAATGGTCAGTGCCGTCCATGTCAAGTGGCAACCGCTTAGCACCAGGTGGGTCGCTTGATATACCCATTCAAACTAATTCTAAAAAAACAACACGCCTTTTAAATATTCCGCCCCGCGTTACTCGCCCTTTGAGTCTGTTATGAGATCAAATCTATGGTACGTTATTTTATAACCATCCAGATTACATGCGTTTGCATTTTTATATAAAAATGATAATTAAAAAATATAGTTACTAAAGTATTATAGCTCCTCCTTAAAATTTCTAAATCGAAATGATGTAAAAATCCTTTATAACAATAATTGTAAATGTTTTCAGAAATACCATGCATCGACAAATTGCAAAAATCTCTAGTGATGGGCTCAACTAAAAATAAAGGTGAGATATTATATCCGGGTGACGTGAAGATCAAGGTCGCGGAACCAAAAGGCCTGAACGCGCTTCACTTGGAAGACGTTATATACAAAACTCTAGTATACGATAAGAAAGAAGATGAACCCCTCAACGAAGGTGATTTCTGTTAAAGAAGCCATTATTTCTTATATTACTATACAATAAATATAGATATATGAGTTTATTGCGACATAGAGCGCTGATTCCAGACTCTGCTCAAAATAATTGCACAATAAATGATAGTTGGTAGATTGTTAGCTATGTAAATATTACGAAAATTATTAAAAAACATTTTACTAATAATATACTTTTGAATAGCGCATAATATATATTATAAGTTACAAAAAAATATGTTAAAAAAAATTTATGATTAAAATTTAAGATAGCATGTACGGAATATACACAAATAAATGGACATTTGTCATTGTAAATGTGGTAATAAATTATTTTATAACGAATTTATTGCGTTTTATTTACCATGATTAATCGGTCTATGAGCGGTAAGCTCTTTGTTCAGACAAAGGGGAGTTATATGATGGTATGGCACAAAGGTTTAACCCACCTCTTCATATAAAACATGACGCCTTCAAAGTTTATTTAAAGTTTGATAGGTAATACTTAAAACGTAGAGAGTGAAATTTTAATTTATGAGGAAATAAAATATTGGATAATAGATTATGGGGCAGTTTGTTTAGGTCACGCCGAGTATAACCCCAAAGCTGTATCTAGAATATGGGCTATGATTATTTGCGTAATTACTGGTGGTAGGACCTCTTGTGACTCCGCACGGGTAGGTACCACCACCCTGCCTATTTCTGGCGTGAAGCAGTAATACGTTTCGGTTTGAAGGGTGGGGCAGCCGTTGTAACTATACTGAGACCTTAGAACTCATTTCTCGAAGTGGGTGGCGGCATTTACGTTGTAGATGTCTATGGGCTCCAGTAACCACTTACAGGTAACCAGCTTAAAATCACTAATAATTGACATTCATCGTCTTTACTAGTGCCGTTAGTACTTTGCAGTTACCAAGAGAATCATAGACATAATTCCCCACACGTTTACGGTTACTATACTGAGACCTTAACTTAACACCAGGTGGGCTGTGAGCTCGTCCACCCATCTAAGCAATAAAAAAATCCTTGACGTAATATATTGTCGAGAAGATTTTATTTATATTGAGGGTCGGACGCGGTGGCGTGGTGGCGCGTGGTGTGTAGGACATAAGTGGCGCGGCGAGTGTTGGCTCGGTGCCCGCGGCGTCGGCAGCGCGCCAGTCCCCGGAGTGCCGGTCCGACCGCCGCCTGCACCCGTGCGTGCCGTGACCCTACCACATCACGAAATCCTTTCCTGCGTCGTCCGCTGCTTTCGTCACCCGCGTCACACCTCAAACACGCGGCTCTAATAATCGTGTGAACATTTAATGTACCTATAGATCGCATGTGGCGGAGGAACTCGTGTTTACATATCAGACGGACAACGAAACAGTAGCGGGTTCAGAGCAGCCGATTTAGGTCGCCCGGTTCAGTGCTAGCAGCGAGATATTTTTATTACAACTGATGGGTGCAGGCGTACGAGCGCCTGAGCACGCTGGCGGTTAAATAAATTATTATTTATAGAGTAGAACCGTAAAGTCCATTCCATAAACACTTTCGTATTTTTAGTTGTTCCTGGTTATCTTTAGTTAAAGTTTCATGTGAATCGGCTATGTAGATTCTGAGATTATAACGCATCGCGGTGAAATTGTGTGAATTTCGTGTTATAAATAATACAAAAGTGGCATTTAGCTGAAATCTTTAACATTTCTTTAGTGCATTTGTGAATTGTGTGGTGAAAATGCATCACTTGTACCCTTTGGCGAAGGGAGACCCGCTGTGTCCGCTAGGCTTCCACCCGCAAGTGCGGTGGCCGACGCGTTGCAAACGCTGTTTCCGCGACTATAAGGAACACGGTGGCGGCAAGAAAAAAGATGATGATTTTACCGCATCCACACCCAGCCTTTCCTCTTGGAACTCACCGACATCACGGTCAGTTAATAGATATATTTTTACTCAAATGCAATTTATTACATATGAATATAATATGTACTTAGGTATGCTTTCAATTTCGATTTCAAACATTTATCTATTTTGCTAGCAATTGCTCCGTGTGGAACAATATCTTGGAACGAATAAAATCAGAAACACATAGACGTCTTCAGAAGTAAACGGCCGAAAAATGATTCGAATATGAACATGCTTAGCAAGGCACGAGAGCACTACCACCAGCCACCATTCTTTTTCAGTATTACTTTACCGAATTTCCCCTTTCTAAATTGGAAATTTATAGAAAATTATTACAATTGAGGTAGGTAGGTAGGTATGTACTTTACGCATAGTAGTGTAGCGTATAAAAACAATATATCCACCTACCATGTTTTTATTGCATAGATTGGTGGACGAGCTCACAGCCCACCTGGTGTTAATTGGTTACCGGAGCCCAGACTTTTATAACGTAAATGCCGCCACCCACCATGAGATGTGATTTCTAAGGTCTCAGTATAGTTACAACGTCTGCCCCATCCTTCAAACTGGAACGCAATATTGCTTGACGACTGAAACAAGCAGAGTGGTGGTACCTAGCAGTAAAAACTATTGATATTATTATTGAGATATGCGATCAGAATATGACGATACAAGAAGGTTTTGGACATCATTACTTGAAATGTATACCAAAGTTAGCACAATACTTATGCATTTTGAATACCTACTACTAGCTTCAATCACTCGTCATCAGAGCATTTTAGCCTGATTCTTCTTAGCAAAAGAAAAATGAGATATATTTAATTCGTTATACAATTAAATGTATCTCACTTTTCTTTTGCTAAGGTGTCCAGCCAGAATGTTAGTTGATTATGTGAAAACACATGAATTTATAGTACGCTGTTTTATCTATGAACAAAAAGAATACTGTGGCACGAATCCAAATTCCTCAACGTTTTGCGAATTGTTTGTATTGCTCTCTGACGTTTGACGCAATCCGCGGCTCCGATCTGGCTTTGCATAAACAGTAGGTACTTTATCCACCTATACCTACATAAAAAAGACAATGCAATTTCTCGTTAAATTAAATAACACATTGCCATAAACAGTTCTGGTAAATTAGAGTCGATTGATTGATTGTCGAAAATTGTGATTTAACTTTAGTGAAAATTCTTTCGGTGCCCTCTGAATTTTGTACCGTATGTTCCATGGGGAGTGCTCTGAGGAATTATCCGAGATGATACCATCATCTCGTTTTTACCATCGCACCGCCCGCCATCGGAGTAGAGTTCATCCATACTACTTGGAGCCACTACGGTCATCCACAGTGCGTTTCCAGAGGTCTTTTTTGCCACGTACCATCCGGCTATGGAATGAGCTCCCCTCCACGGTGTTTCCCGAGCGCTATGACATGTCCTTCAAACGAGGCTTGTGGAGAGTATTAAACGGTAGGCAGTGGCTTGGCTCGGGCCCTAGCATTGCTGAAGTCCATGGGCGACGGTAACCACTCACCATCAGGGCCGTCTGTGGACTGGTCTGCCTACAAGGACAATAAAAATTAAAAAAAACCTTTTTCAAGCAATTTTACAAAATAATCCTAATCTGACTTAAACCCATGTGTAAAGCCGTTCGTTCACTAGACATCATTTCAGACTTAGTTACATTGTTTCAGAATGTTCATTTTTCAACCGTATTTCCATTTGGTGCTTTCGTTTTATTAAAATATGTGAGTGAGCTCGCGGATTACCTAATGTTAAACGTTTACTAGAGGCCACAGATTCTGAATGACACCACTCATATCATGACTAAGCCATAGTCAGTAACCCTCAATCGTATGTGTTGTGTAACGCATGTTTCAAACTTCACCATGAAATACATATTACTTACTTCATAGTCATAGAAATAAACGAGATAGTGCTTAACATCATGTGTTCACTAAATGCCCTACTGCTATTTAAATACATAATTTTTTGGTGTTTCATTCTATCACTGTCAATTAAGGAAAGTTGACCGTCATTATAAATATCTTATACGTACCTACATACCGCATAATTTAGTAATAATCTCGAATGATATTGTTGTAATCTGTAATTATATTGGTGAAAATTTACAATAAAGAACCAGTTGCTCGTAAAGACGTTTGCTGAACATTTTGCTGTCCGATCCACCTAATTGTAAGTAGTCACAGTCACCCATGGGCATCACCAATGCCAGGGATCGCCTACTTTTTTTTTCTTACCTAAGCTGATGGTCTAGAGATACCATATCAGCGTAACCTTAAATAGTAGGTGAGCTCACGGGGCTCAAACCTGACGATGTTGCTAATACGTACACTAGCAAGAGCCGTCAATCGGGAAGATCCGAAATGACGTGTTTTGGGCGACGTCGACTGTTTACCATTTGGTCCGCAGGATCGGCTATGTAGTTTCCGGCGGCCTGTCCTGCCGCTTTATCGAAGTGGTGCTGTATTACTTTTTCTTATTTTCATTTTCATTTCATCAGTGACACCTGAGAGTTGTTGTTCTTGTTGTTGTTTGTAATAACGATTATTTTTCTTTTCTTAAATAAACAGAAGCCGTGACGGAGAGAATGGTGCAGCAGAAGGGGACAAGGTTGGCCGGGGTTGGGCTTCGAGTACCAACCTTAGCTCCATCGAGTCAACCAAAAAGGACACTTTTTCCACAGGTTACATTTTAATGTATTAATTCAAGGAATAATTTCCTCTCACGATACTCTACGATCTACTTGAAGCCGTCCTGGCCTAAAGGATAAGACGTCCGGTGCATTCGTCTTGAGCGATGCACCGGTTCGAATCCCGCCGGCGAATACCAATTTTTTTAATGAAATACGTACTTAACAAATGTTCACGATTGACTTCCACGGTATAGGAATAATACCGTGTAATAAAAATACAACCCGCAAAATTATAATTAGCGTAATTACTGGTGGTAGGACCTCTTGTGAGTCCGCACTGGTAGGTACCACCACCCTGCCTATTTCTGCCGTGAAGCTTTAATTTAATAATTTAATACGTTTCGGTTTGGAGGGTGGAGCAGCCGTTGTAACTATACTGAGACCTTAGAACTCAATATCTGAAGGTGGGTGGTGGCATTTACGTTGCGGATGGGCTCCGGTAACCACTTAACACCAGGAGTGCTGTGAGCTCGTCCACCAATCTGTGCAATAAAAATAATAATAATATTATAACACTATTATAGAACAGTAACTTGCACTTTTAATCAGTAATTACATATCCGTACGAATACGTGTGTTTGAAACTTTTATTCAGCCATTAATGAATAGCGTATTTGCGATATTTTAAATATATTTTTACTTAATAGGCCAATACTAAGGATTTATCAAAATTTCAAGCCAATTACGTAGTTCCCCAAAATTACAGATATCACAAAGTTGTATTATTACGGTAAAGGTTGGATTTAGTCGAATTTAGAATATGAGGCTGTTTACTTAATACGTCCATAATTAAAAATGTAAATTTAAATATAATAATATTAAAAGCCGCTGGATGCGACTAGATACATTCTATGCAGAACCAGTGATTATGGTGAGCCTTGAGGGAGGCCTATGTCCAGTAGTGGACATCTGTGAGTTGATAATGATTATAGCTTATTTCCAAAACACAATTTCTTCCATAAACTCTGACATCTCATTGACACCCAGTAACTGCACGTATTATGTAAACTTAAAGCAAACTAAACAGAAATTAGCTATTTTAGTCCCACCTTAAAAAAATACATTTTTATTTAAATCTTTTCTATACTATTCTTCTTTTACTTAATTATATAAATATATATTTATGTTACAAAAAATGTACAACGTGGTTCTGTTTATTTCTTAAAATTATGGGACGCAAGGAGTAAGTGGTTACCAGAGTCCACAGAGAGGATAACCAGAATGCCGTAACAGGTCTGGAAGTACGAATTCGCATATTTGTCCCACCCCTCTAGGCGGAACGTGTGAGATCCATTCATAGGATTCATGAATCACGCAGGCAGCTGCCATTTTTTCTAATGAAATACATATATACGTGAGACATTTACGAAAGATTTCCACGGTCTAAGTAAGAACATCCTAGTAATAAAAATAAGATCAAGTTGAAATTTGCATTACTGGTGGTATTATACCCACGGAGGAAACTATCAATTACTGCAGCGAAGTAGTAACGCGTTCCTCTTTGATAGGTGGGAAAACCATTAAATAACTAAACTGAGACTTTAATTTAAAAAAAAAAAAAACCGGCATAATCTCATCGCTCGATACGGGTTCGGTTTTATTGTTTAAACCACAATGTCTGATCTGTATTTTTATTGTTTGTGTAGGATTCAATAAAAACAATACGTCTTGGACATCGACGCCGGATCTGGGTGCTGACGGCAGCGACTCAAACGCCGTCACAGTCAATCTCAAGCTACCCAAACGACGCCTTACGGGCCCATTACCGGATTTGGACACAGGCCAAACAACTAATGGTATGGAAACATTACGATTATCTCTTTGTATGTAAAACAGAAATTTCATAACAAGTTGCTTCTTAAGGTGTGTAGGTTTCGCTTAATGAATTTATCCTTCTAACTGTGATAATAGGCGCTTATTGGAGTCTATAAATCATCCTGATCGATCCACCCTCAGGCATTAGATGAAAGTTTCAGTTGCATTAAAATAGCAATTGCTTCAGTACAAGAATATATCTTACACTGTTTCCCTCTAATAAATCTCCTAGTATTCAACAGATAAATTAGGGAGGAATAAAAAATTTATATTAGAAGATACAGTGAAGATACAAGTAGTATTATGTACATCTCGACCCAAGCGAACCAAGGATGCATACCCGTGTCTTGTCTGCTAATCAACAGACTATTACTATTATGTAAAACTCTGGCTCTAATTGAACTGAATGAGCTTTTCAAAGCAACTTTGTATTTTTCCTAATCTTTCATAAATATATTTCTATGTCAATTCGTGATTCTATTTCGTAGTACTACAAATAAAAATCTATAATGAATGAAAATAGTTTAAAAGCATATAAATACTTTTAAAATTTTAATTTTTGTTTTATATAATAATATATAATAAAATGTTTAGAAATAGACACAGTTACATTACGTCGGCCGTCACCATCGCCGCCCCCGTCCGCAGGCTCCCAGACTCAGCTCGCAATAACCAAGAATGACTCACTCGCTGAACGTGTGCGAAAGGTAAACACATCATTATTTTGTAAAGATGGGAATTATAAAACGTGCTTCGAATACTATTTGTTTCGCATTACTTAACGCTAAAGTTTAGCTAAACCTCTTAAGTTTTTGTCACTGAAATTTTATTTTTATGGTTTAAATACCAAATTTACCTAAATATTATATGTAGAACTAGCGACCTGCCCTCGCTTCGCTTCGGAAACATTAAATTGTATTATTGATAGCTGAGTCCCGCGATGTTACCTACCCGCGCTTATTGTCGTACCGCGGATGACACCACGGGGCGAAGCTAGTCCAAAAAAAAGTAGCCTAAGTTACTCCTTATATCATCAGCTACCTATCAGTGAAAGTCTCGTCAAAATCGGTCCAGCTGTTCGAGTGATTAGCCGGAACAAACAGACAGAGAGACAGCGTGAGATCCATTAACTTTAGCATTAGACGCCTTCAGCTCTAGCACCAGGAGCAGGCTTAGGGACCCTGGTAACCGTACTCGTCGAACTTGGCAAAGAATTCGACGTGCAACCTAACCCATGCATCTGCCCGCTAAGCTTCTCGTTGGATCTTCTGAGCGGATCGCGATTCTGATCCAGTAGTAGATTCATTCGCATAGCAACTGCCCTTAAGGTCTCCGAAGGTGCTTGGGCGGTTGTTAACAAATCCCTTTTGGCCGAAAAAGGGATTTGTCCAAAAAAACTGCTTCGCACGTTAATTTGTAACCTGAATAAATTTGAATTATTGTTACATTACGTGCAGATTAATTTAATTATTGTTACATTACGTACAGCTTAATAAAGAATCGTAATAAACATTTCGTTCGTTTCGTTTATTTTTATTTATCTGGAATCAACAGCACCACACACTGTACATGTTATTGAAATTATAATACGCCATAAATAAACAATTTTTATAAGTTCTAATACCGGGATCGGGATGTGTACATGAATATATTTTTTCACCTTGGAATTCAGAGCTTTAAGTGGGTCAAGTCGTGAGCACTGACTACCGTAGCAACTCTGTCTGCTTCGGCATGGAGCTCGAAATAAACGTAAAAGGTCACTTGTAAACTTAGTGTCTGGCAAGAGAAGAGGATCAGTCATATTTATTGAGGAAATGACCCGTTATTAATCTATTTTGTAATGGAAGGTGTAATAAGTTGTAGTGCCTTTTATGTTTTCACGAGTAATAGACATGACTTTAAAATAGTTTCACGATTACATACATACCTACATAATATGTATATTCTTACTTGTTTAGCTCATTTTATAATTTCCATACGTTTCGAATACTATAAACTTACCTTCACTATGTTTTACGCAATTTTAGAATTATATATTTTTCTTAGTCAGAGATGTTATGTATAATAATAAAAAAAACATAAGCATGAGATTAGGATAAGGATTCTCTTCAAATTTTATTTAAGGAAAGAATATGTCGCATGTTAGACAAGTGTGTGACAAGTTCTTATACGATTATATGGTTACATTGTGATGTTGCGATTTACTTTTCGTGGTCTTACACGACGTTAACGACACGTTAACTATCATTATAAATACTGTTATATAGTCTATAATCACTATCGCTATAATCGCTATAACCACAAGTAGACCAGATAGACAACAAAAGGGTTTTTTAAAAGTTGATAACCGTGTAGTATTAAACAATCCATAAAATACTTTTATCACACATGGCTACAATTTTTTTTTTACCTTAAATAAGAATTAAATTTATTGTTATCATCTTGAAATCATTCGAATCTGCAGTCATTGCCTTCGATGTCAGAAAGAATCAAAACGCATCTAAATCGAAAAAAAGGTTCTTCAAACCGAATTCCCCTAAAATCTCATCTATTTATTTATAATACAAGTATCTATTAAAACTGCAACCTGATTTTGATAACAACTCAGCACAACAAAGTAGTTCCTGTGAACACGTAAAATAAAAAAATGTTTATTTTAAAATAAGTCGTATTCACAACTATTTACATATCATTGAGCTATATTTAACATGTACACGAGAAGTACATGTTCTTTATTTGTTAAGATATTTTGCATCGATGTGTTTACAGATGCAGCTGTTAAAAACGCAGAATAGTTTTGAAAAGGAGCCAAGTATAGAGAAAGAAAGAGAGCGAAGAAGTTTGTCCAAAAGTAAAGAAGATGAAAAGACTGCTAGATATAAAGACGAACGGTCATCGACCAAAGATGATGTAAACTTTTTAATGCAGGTAAAGTAGTTATTTTAATAAATTTCCGGCAGATTATAGTCTTCAAGGCGAATATACGAAATATTCACAGCTGATCACAGTGTTCCCGATTTTCAAAGTAATTTATGAAACTGCCATCATAACGATTTGCCATTATCCGTGGAATAATCCGCCAAGCTTGATAAGGGGGCCCGCCCTACACTCCGGATGTCATTTCGTGGTTTCCATTGTAGAAATGATCAGCCTCAAAAGGCAGTCGGTTCTACGCATTGTGTGTGTGTNATATACGAAATATTCACAGCTGATCACAGTGTTCCCGATTTTCAAAGTAATTTATGAAACTGCCATCATAACGATTTGCCATTATCCGTGGAATAATCCGCCAAGCTTGATAAGGGGGCCCGCCCTACACTCCGGATGTCATTTCGTGGTTTCCATTGTAGAAATGATCAGCCTCAAAAGGCAGTCGGTTCTACGCATTGTGTGTGTGTCGCCCACTACCACTTCAACTTACAAACATTTCTGATTACCCATAGAAGCGAATATAGCCTTGTCAATATTTCGATATACGATTTGTAATGTGTCAAATGACATTAAGCCCTTATATATCTTTCATTCCTACTGAATCACCAGTAGCCGCGAAGGGCTATTCTGGTTTCGTTAGACGGGTAAGCTAACGTCTGCCCAAGCAAGAGCAGTGCTGAATCTTAGCCCACTGAGTTTCTCACCGGATCTTCTCAGTCGGTGGTAGATTCTGCGAAGCACTACTCTTGCTAGGGCTAGTGTTAGCAAATTCTCTTAGGCTGGGCCCGTGAGCTCACCTACCCGTTCGGGCGTAGCTGGAATAGCCTCTTAGGTTACCAGCAAATGGGTAGGAAAAAAATCTGAATCTATCACCGGATCGAAATCGAGAAGAAGATCCGGCGAGAAAATCAGTGAGCTGTGGGTTATGTGGTATATGGAATCCTCCGTCGCATTGGACGAGTACGGCAAGAACGGTGACCGGTGCTCGGAATGCCTTAATGCACCGAGAGTAAATCGGGAGAATCCAAAATAACAGCAGCTGTGTGTTGTTCGGTCGCTTGGATCGAGTGTGTAATCAGAGGCGGCCATGATAAGGGGGTTATCATGTCAAGCCGCTTTTTCGAAGAACCCTCAAACTGATTTCCATTATTTATTAGGTAAAGAATTCTCGGAATTCAACGAATTTGAAGCCCCCCGTTCGAGGAGGTCCGTCTAAGGACAAAGATGAGTCTGATGATGAAACGAGCACCACCACCGAAACTACTTTAGTGGATTCCAACGTTAAAGAATATCAGGTTAGAATGAAACAGTTATATGTATAATTTAGTCGCTCTCTGAGGTGTTTATAACCAAAAAAAGTTAGCTCAGTTCAAATATAACTAAAAATTTCATTCGTTATATAATAAACATATAAGATTTCCAACCCATTTTTTCAACGAAGTAGTCATCTATTTCCATTTGGCGGATGGAAAAAATTTATACAATACAATTTAGACTGCGACCTCATGTCACCAGATAAGTGGCGACATTAACGTTGGGATATCTATGAGAATTGACAACCACATAATGCCAAGGAACGTGTGTTCATTCACCCATTTAGTGCAATGAAAAAGTTTAAGTAGTGTTTGGGAGGGGATGCACCATCATTATCAAGTAAAACTAGTTTTGTAATCGAATTTGATTGGAGGATGTGAAAACTCATGTCATTTTTTTCCGCAGGATCAAATAGAGGGCTTGAAACAAGAAGTAGATATTTTAAGGAAACGTTGTGAAAGGGTGGAGAAAGAAAAAAGCGACATTCTTCTACGCAGACTCGCTAACATCGACACGGCAAATAAATACACGACAGGACGATCATCGGAAGTACTAAAACTACAACAGAAAGTAAACGAATTAACTACGCACAATGATGATCTCAGGGATGAGAAAAAACACCTAACTCAGAAAATTAGGGAAATCGAGAGTGAGCTTGAGGTATCTACAAATTTTGCTCAATTTACAATATTGATGATGATGATAATTTTCTCAACTTTATGGTTTATATATATTTTTTATTTCTATTTAGATGGGTGGACGAGCTCACAGTCAACCTGGTGTTAAGTGGTTACTGGAGCCCATAGACATCTACAACGTAAATGCGCCACCCACCTTGAGATATAAGTTCTAAGGTCTCAAGTAAAGTTACAACGGCTGCCCTACCCTTCAAACCGAAACGCATTACTGCTTCACGGCAGAAATAGGCAGGGTGGTGGTACCTACCCGTGCGAACTCACAAGACGTCCTACCACCAGTAATTAGGCAAATTAAAATTTTGCGGGTTTGATTTTTATTACACGATGTTATTCCTTCGCCGTGGAAGTCAATCGTGAACATTTCTTAAGTGCGTATTTCATTAGAAAAATTGTTACCCGCCGGCGGGATTCGAACACCGGTGCATCGCTACATACAAATGCACCGGACGTCTTATCATTTAGGCCGCGACAAATTGTATATACATATAATTTAATATATAATATAATAATAAATAAATGTTGTCGTCTTTGATATTTGACTACTTTCATTAGACTCGGCCGTCAACTGAAGCTCAGACCCGTCAGATTGAGCAGCTACGAGCCAAGTTGTTGGCGGCCGAAACGTTATGTGAAGAATTGATGGATGAGAATGAAGATATGAAGAAAGAACTACGGGATCTTGAGGAAGAAATCGAAGAGATGCAAGATAATTTTAGGTTGGTTGGTTTATAGACCTGATTTGAAAAACGCATAACATTTGCACGAAATAACTACTACAGATGATTACTAATTTATTCGAAAATACCATTAATCTATCTAAAAACTAAGCAGTAATGCTTTTTTGTTATTTGTCTTATCATCGATAAATAAGTCTTAATGGTAAACCTGTATTTTTATTTCAGAGAAGATCAGGCCGACGAATATTCATCCCTGAGACGCGAATTAGAGCAGACCATTAAAAATTGCAGAGTTTTATCATTTAAATTAAAAAAGACTGAAAGGAAAGCCGATCAATTAGAACAAGAAAAAGCTGAACACGAGAAGAAATTATTAGAGGTACTTGTTATTTCTTTTCTATGCAGTTATCGGCTTCTAAATGTTAATTGGCCAGCGTCAAGTTAATTCCACTATTATTATTACTACATATAATACTACGTTAGTTAAAAAATTCAATGGAGCGGATGAAATATTACTTAATTGATCTGAAATTGTCATTAATTTGGATAAAATAAATGAAACGGAGTAAAAACGAAACAATATCTTAATAAAATAAAAATGGGATTTCAATTAACTTGCTGGAAGAACCCGAGAAACATTTTCACACGTATTAAAAAATCAATAAGCCCCCATTATTCCACTATTAAATCTTTACAAACAAATAAAAATATTCTAATTAGTTCGTTTCTCGCATTCTCGCCAAAACAAGTGTGGAAGTCCTACATTCTAAATATAGAGCAGTGTTATCGAGGTTTTTGAAATTATCCGAAACATCTGTCAACTAATGGGCTAGACACCCATGTGACACATAGACATGCGTAGTTATCGTAGTAGATAACCCGCCCCAGTTCAATACTAACCTACCAATCTTTATTAAATACAATTATGTACCTATCTAACTATAATGAAGGAACAACATTAATTAGTATCATCATAATCAACAACAAATTCATAGACGAGGAGTATATCAGCTCACTAAAATGATAGCCCTAAACACGTCATTACGGATCCTCCCGATCCATTAACGGTGCTTTTAGGTTAACCTCAAGCACCGGTCACCGTCCTCGCCGAACCCGTCGCTTGCGACGAAGGGCTCGACGAGTAAATTGACCCATAGACACAGCCCACTGAGTTTCTCGCCGGATCTTCTCAGCGGGTCGCGTTTCCGATCCGTTGGTAGATTCTGCGATGCACTGCTCTTGCTAGGGCCAGTGTTAGCAACACTTCTGGTTTGAGCCCCGAGAGCTCCCTTACACGTTCGGGTGAAGCTGAAATAGACTCTCAAGGCTATCAGTATAGGAAGGAAAAAAAGACCAGATTTTATTTTATTATACTATAATACATTTATTTAATGCACAAACAGTTTTTATTGGTTGTTTATGTTAATTTTGAGTAACAAAAACATTTTATTAAAAAAGGCATTGTGGAATTAGCGAGTAACTTATTATAGCGAAATATAATGGTCTATTGATGGACTGAAAGTCTTCGTCTGTTCATTTAGGTACGACAATAACTGATAAATAAAATATTACATGATATTCAGATAGTCGGAGGACCCGACGGCATGCAGCGGGAAAATAGGATTAAAGAGTTGGAACAAGAAGTTGCGCGATCTACTGAGGTGGCGCTAAGGCTACAACGCGAACTGGCTGAAGCAAACTCAAAGTTCACCGGATCAAACCCAAGCCTCATGAAGGTTCCCCAACCCGAAACTGTAAGCACGACATGATAGGGTAAAATATCAACTTTCCGACGAATTGACTCAAAAAATTTCAAACTAACTTAAATCTATGCAACAGAACGTTAATCCCCTTTAACTAAATATTACATAAAAAATATTACATCAAAAGCATGCGTAATGATTGTTGATTAGTATTAGAATGAAAAAATTACAAGAAACAATAAAATGTTGTACTATAACTAACATATTTTAGGCTATAGTAAGAAAATCAATTAGTGGCCTTTTTTGTGAACAATACACCTACGCACAAAGTTGCAGCGTAACTTAATAATAAAGATTTTGAATATGGTTGTTAAGATGGAATGAGTAACGAACATGGGTATCGAATTCTTTACATACAAAATAACAAAATTCAAACGTTAAATAGTAGTAAGACTTTTTGACAGTAATACAATACAATTGAGAGTCCGGTCGCATATCGCTAGGTGGGTGACAGCATTCACGTTGTGACATTTATGGCTTCCGGTAACCACTTCAAAACAAGTGGGCCGTGAGCTCATCCAAAATATTACGCAATAATTCCAAAAAATTCACATTGAAATATCATTGCACTAACGTCATTGCTCATATTCGTATTATTTTTAGTTATATGACAAGTTACTCGTACAACGTGATTTGATTTGATTTAATATAGTTTTTTTTTTTTATTTATTTATTATAGATTTTTTTTTATTTATTTCAATCACAAATGTTTTCTGCTGACGTTTCATATTAATAAAATATGACATAACATACTAAATGTATTTTCATGTTTTGTGATTTGTAGTGTTCATTAAATAGTTTTCTGTTAACACCATTAGGTTAAAGTGTCCCGATCGTCACTCACTCGAGGAGGTAGCCAAGAAGACCCCGCACAGCTTCTTAGAGATCTGCAGGACTCTTTAGAGAGAGAAGCAGACTTACGGGAGCAACTACGCAATGCAGAAGAAGAGGTATTCTCGTTACACTTTAAAAACTAACATTGGTCGAAGAACAATTTGTTTATCTCATTTAAGAGTATATACAGTTGGGCGACATGCTCATCTACTTTGACAGTAATAGGCAGCAACTTGTTAATGCCACTACCATTGCTGACGTCTATGAGCGACAGTGACTACTCACCATCAGGTGGGCCGTGTGTGTGTCTGCCTACGGTAGCAATAAAAAATATTAATTCCTTTTTTTTCTTCGAAAATTTGACGAATTGGTTAGGTAATTACCGAGTGACAAAACAATTTATAAAGGAAATTGATTTTACGCGTAAATAGCCGTTTTTATTTAGAAACAATGTATTTGTTTTGGGACAAATATTTTTAATTTACAAATATTTACATTTTCAAGTTATTTTCTTTCAAATTTTTTCATCGCGTGCAAACTCAGATTCAATAATAAATGTATATAATTATTGTTGGCGTTAGTCAAAAAAAGGAATTAGAGTTTTAATTGCTGTAGATGGGCAAAACTCGCAGCCTATATAGTGATAAGCAATCAATACTGAACACCTAGTACTTATAGTTAAGTAATATGACAAAAATATTTAAGTAAAGCATGCGTAACGACTAAATTTAAACAATAACTTACATAACCTATTAATGCTTCAAAAGATACTTCGATGCATATAATTTTTATTTAGTTCAATTCCTTCTTGTCTTCATACAGGCTGACCGAATCCGTCGAAGCATTGAAGATAGAAGAATTTCATCTTCATTAAACTTCCAACAAAATTGTAACACAGCCATAACCCAAATTCATGATACAGATAAAACAACTAAAGTAACCCAATTTGAAAAAGTTTTAGAAATGCAACTAGCCATAGAAAAAAGTTTATCATCGGCCAATGTCAGTCACATGTCTATTGGTATCAACAAAATAGTTCAATCACCCCAGGATAATCTACAAAGTTACTGCCAAGGATCTCAAACCGACATTATTTATATGAATGATGTCGGAACTGATACTAGAAAAATTACATTAGATTCTACAGTGCAGTGTGACGAGGATACTTTAGAAAAATATTCTCAAACAGAAACTGTTTTTAAAAAAAACAAAATAAACCAAACCGACTCCTTGTTTTTAAATAACTATACACAGACTGACGCTAAGAAAGTCCGTAATGCTACCGCGCAAACTGTAATTTTATTGACGCATGACCAAAATTTGCAGACAGCGAACTTTAAACAAGTTAACCCACCAACGTTCTTGGATAAACAAATCATGACTGACAACATAGTTACATGTGATATCCATGAATACGAGACAGTTACAAATTCAATTCAAAACAAAATGATTCACGCTGCATCTACACCCTCTTCCAAAGAAAAGTCCGATAGCCCTCCACTTTCCATAGATAAAACAACGGAAGAAACACAGTTCCATTTCGATTTGCCTTACCTTTCTATATTCAACCACATGGCGGTTAGGTTGCCAGTAATAGGTATTTCTATGAAATATTACAATAACAAAATGTTGATTTAGTTGTTCTGAACTTAACTATTTTAATATATTATGTAGAGTAGTGCAGTGTTTTAGTTGTCCAATAATAATTACTAACGAATATTTTCAGGCAAATAATTTGCGTAAAACAGCGGCACGTGTAGAAGAGGACAATGAGTCCTTACTGCTACAGCTGAAGAAAATGGCTACCAAAGCCAGAAGTACGTCAATTATTATGGAGAATATTGTGTTTTGAGCAAAACCTTTCCTGTATTTTTCATGAGAACTTCGCAAAACATCTTAAATTAACAAACCTCATAACACTTTACTCTGGCCATTGTTCCACTAACAAGCTTAATATGGTGTCCATGTTGTATTAAAATTTCGTAGGCATAATTATGGTAGCCATTTTCTCCAGTTCGTAATTTTTTTTCTGATCATTGACTGTATATAATCAAGTTTTTTATGTACCATAATACAATACGATTTGGTGCAAATAGAAATCATTCAATTCCTAATCTAACCGAAATAACAATTGAGTCGACACTAGCTTTACATTTTACCAAAAAAAAATTACTCCAAATACATAAGTATTAAAAATATTATTGGGAACTTCTAGGTCGTAAACTGTCCCCTACGCCTCCAGCCAACAAGCTTAGCATTGAAACAGCTAATGATAATGATGAAAAAGAAACCGACGAAGCGGACCCCGCGGAGATGAAATTGCTTTTAGAACTTAATGAACAGGTAACAATAAATACAATACATTTTGATGTTAATAAGACGTGATAAAAAATCGCAATTTGTATTTTATTGTTATTTTTTGGTTGAAGGAGGCTACAGTATTACGAAGAAAAGTCGAGGAATTGGAACAAGATAAAGAAGCACTTAAGAAACAAGTCAAGGAGCTAACTAGCAAGATTTCAAGTGTGACTAAAACTAGTGCCGGATCCAATACCACCGCGCGGCGTAGTTTGACTACTAATAGCAATAAATTAGCAGAAGAGCGTGTTAAGGTATATAAATGAGGTTAAGTTCACGATATCACATGATGGAACTTTTGAATCACACGCATATTGTTTTTTATAGGTATTAGAAGATGAAATAGACGAAGTAAGGAAAAAGCTTATAGAAAAAGAACGTGATTGTGAAAGACTACACGCTGAACTCAGTTTGGCGCAAAAGAAACCTAAAACACTTATTAAAAGCAGGTACATGATTTAAAATAATATATTTTTTCCCATTGTAAAATAAGTATTGCTTAGTAATTTATAAGCACATTACAGATCATTAGACGCTAGTGATCAACAGAATGTGGACCTCAAGCGACAACTGCAAGTAGTAGAACAAGAGGCCAGTGTATTGAGAGCCAAAACCCAAAGTCTTGAAGCTGATAACGAAAAATTACAAACAGAAAATAAAAAGTTACAGCTTTTGAAAAATGCGAAGTCATTAAGATCTGATAAAGCATTAGATCTCAATACCAAAAAAACAACTCAACTAGAAAATGAACTCAAAGAAGCTTTAGCTAAAATAAAAGAACTAGAAATGATATGTCAAGATGAAAAATCAGAAAAAAAAGTAAGATTTACTGAGGCAACTAAAAAAGAAACAGACACCCTGAAATCAAAACAGGATGAATTAGATAAATTGAAACTAAATCTTAGCAAGGTACATTTTTTCATTTTTGTTATTTTGAGTTAGTTATGTATTTCAACTAACCTGAATTCGTATTTCTAATTTTATTTATCTTTGTTTGTAATGCAGTTAGAAAAAGAAAACTTGAAGCTTCAAGCAACACTGAAATCACTCAAAGATGATGCACAAAAATCTTTTAAGCCGAGAATTCCAAAGAAACCAACTGATTTAACAACTAAACTTCAACTCAAAAAAATGGTTGAAGATTTGGAATATGAAATAGGTAAGATTCTAAGTAGATTTCTAAGAACAAACCTTATAAATTCTGACAATATTCGATTTATGTTTTAGGGGAGATGTATGTTGTGATGAAAAACGCAGGATTATCTGGTAAGGAAATGACCGCAAAAACTAAATTAGAAAAAGAAGTAGAAGAAATTCGTTCCAAACTGTCGAAGAACGACTCAGAATTCACAAACGAAAAGAATAGATTACAAACTGAAATAGCAAAACTAAAAGATGTCAATGCTAAATTAGAAGGTGATAAAGATGTGTTTGCCAATAAATATAAAGCTCTTGAAAATGAAAACAGCAATTTAAGCAATCAGTGCAAAACGCTTACTGAAGAAATGAAAAATAGAGAGGCTCAAATAAACAAATTGAGTGCTGATCTCAGTAAGTTTAATAATATATAGGCTCGTTAAGTTAGATTACAAATTTAATTTAAAACAAATATATTTTTTTTTATGATTTATAGAAAACGCAACGTCTCTTCAAACCACAATGTCCGATTGTATGAAAAAAATAGAAGATCTGAAAAAAGAAATAGATAGCAAAGATAAAGATATAGAAAAACTAAAAAAACTAGTGGACAATTATACAAAAATAGACCAGGATAAGAATAAGTTGCTCAAAGAGGTAAATTAGACCCCAATAAAATAAGTAAATAATAAAAGATTATTGATAATTTTAAGAACACGCTAATATAATATGCTTTTAGGTTGGCGATAAAACTAAAAAAATAGGCGATTTAGAAAAGAAATTAAAGGAAGCAGAAGAAAAATGTAAACGTATAGAGAAACAACTTTCGACCCGTAAAGATCGTGTAACCAAACTTGAAAAAGAGGTAAAACAGTTAATTTAGTTTAATTATTTCCAAAGTTCATAAAGGTTAAATTGTTGAATAAATTTACATGTCTGTGAGCAAGCGGTTACTTTAAATTTTCAATTATGATTTCTGGGATCCGACTATTATGTCAATCATATGTTATCGACTGAACAGCATATACACATTAATCGTAGTTATCAATGGGTGCCAATTTTTTTTACCTGTGTAAGTGACGTGGATTTTTGTTCCTCCTCCTAATGTCCATGGTCAATAGACTGTATATGTATGGTCATGGTCAAAGCAAAAATTACAGAAATTCCATTATGTGACTTGCTATGATAACATTGATATTACACTTCATTTCATTTATATTGGTGGGCATTTCGATTAGTAAAGTCATTGAATAATTAATAACATTAACATGATATTCATTAGCTTTCGGAAGAAAAAGAACAAGCAGTCGTGTTGGCCAATACACATAGACGACTATCAATCGAATTAACGAGCGAGAAAGATGAACTACAAGCACGATTTATTAAAACCGAAAGTAAATTCATAACGTTAGAGGCCGAAATGAGAGATTTGAAAGCTGACTATGAAAATAAAATCACTTCTCTGGAATCAACAATAGCCGCTAAAGACGTTCATATTAAGCAACTGGTATACGAGTCTGAGATGGAATGACTTTACCCTTCCACCCAGCATGATCTGACATGTAACCTCTTAGCACCCTCGTATATACAATCCATTAATATGAATAGTTTATCCTGATTCACAATGTAAAAGTCTGCAATAATGTTATCACCCATGAATATCCTTTAGAAGTTAGAGCAAAACAGACTATTAGTAATAACTAAAGTTAAATACCTGCTAACTGTCGCTAACTAAAATTACAGGAAGACGCATTAAGGCAAACTACTAATGATAAATACGACGAAGCAACATCACCTGTCGAGATGGTAGAAATGAGGGAGAAGCTTGAGAAGACTAGCAAAGAACTCAAAGAGAAGCAAGATGAATTGAATAATGCTAAAATTAAACTAGAAAAGACTGAAGCAGAATCATCCGCTGCGAAACTTGAAATGGCACAGCTCAAATCGGACTTAGCGAAATTAGAAAACGAATATAAGGAACAAGAGAAAAAGGTGCAAGCTGAAAAGAAGGAATCCAGTTATTGGGAAAATAAAGCCAAAGAACTCGACACTGACCTGCAGGTAATATGGGAAATCTTGTAAACTAATGTAACTATGAACAAAATAATGAAATAAAGCGTTACTTTATAATATTGGTTGTTTAAAAATTCTAGTCGGAGCGCAAGAAACTCGACCGGATGCGTATTGCTCATGACAAAGATGTTAAAAATAAAGAAGCAGAGCTAGCGACGCTCAAGGGTAAACTTAAGATTCTTGAACAAAATTCTGGAGCAGGAGCGAAGAGAATCACGGAGTTGAAACAAGAATATGAAGAGACAGTCAAAAGTTTGTATACCATATTTTCTTGTGTGCTATGGGTCTGTAACAAGTAGTATTTTGGTCCAGTTTATTAATTTGATTGGGTCATGCATGTGAATCTGAATTAGATTATATGTAACGTCTCTTTGTAAATAAAGCATGCGCATTGGCTTTTTTTTCTTTTTAGCTTAAAAGTATTGTTTTTGAATTTTCAGAACTTGAACATTCTTTAGCTCTTGAAAAGGCAGAATATGAGGAGCTAACAGGAAAATATGAACTATTAGAGGAAGAACATGTGGTCACAAAAGCAAGACTGACTGTGGAAAAGGAACAAGCGCAGGGGTAACTCGTTTATTTGTTTTGTTTTAACTAATACCGTAACATATAAAGATAAGATATTTATATTGAGGGCCGATTTTATTTTCAGAGAACTTTTACATGTACAAAAAGAATTAAGTACTGCCTTAGGTGAAATAAAGACACTGCAAGAAAAACTTGGAACTGAAGCAGCAGCATGGAATACGGAGAAAACGGAAATGCAGGTCAATTTATGAGTTTGATTTTTGTGTGAATTGCTGACGGAATAGGAAACCGAATTGTAATTTTTTTACTTCGCAGAACTCGATAGCGTCTCTGCAAGAACGTTTGTGTGGTGGAGGGTGGGAGGTCGAGCGTGCCCGTCTCAACGCGCGCCTGGACCAGAGAGAGCGGGAGCTTCGAGCTGCCAACGATAGACGCGATGTGCTCGAACATCACCACGACCTTGCCAAGAAAGAGGTAAATAATGCATTTATTTAGGACTGGTTTACTAGCGGTAACGGTGATATGATAATCATTATGCAAGGGCAATAAGGAAATTATTCGCATGTTCCTAAATGAGCAGTCGTGTTTACTTTATAATGTGTATGAACTTCGGTGTCCCAACGGCACGTGCACAATGAGCCGCTTAACAATTAATGCAACCTAAAATTATATTTTTGCTTTTTTTTCCTTTGACTCCTGGCATAAAGTAAAGCCAATTAAATTTATAAATTATATTCACAGTTTACATTATAAGACACAATTTACATTCTAAAATACTTTTTATAAATGCCGTACCACGGATAGTAGCCGTGGTACGGTGTCGAGACTAGCTGTAGCTTGTTAGTCCGCGTGAGTAAGTACTACCACCTACCATATTTCTGCCGTGAAGGAGTAAGGCGTTCCGATTTGAATGGTGAGGCAGCCACCGTATTATAAAACTGAGACTTAGAACTCATGTCTGAAGTAGATGGCAGCATTTACGTTGTTAATCTCTATAACTTCTGGTAATCACTTAACACGTGAGTCTTGAGCTCTACCACTCATCTAAGGAATAAAAAAATATATTGTTTTATTATTTCTTAAATATTAGATAAATCAATAAAACTAATTCAATTCTTTGCAGCTAGAGGAGTCCCGAAAGAAATTGGAAGATTACGAAAGAGTTTCTAAAATACAAAGAAATCTTACAACAGAAAATGCAGAACTGGAACGGGAGTTGGCAGCTTTGAACAATAGAATAGAACAATCCGAAAAGGCTAGAAAGGCCGAAATCACGGACACTAAGACGAGATACGAAGGGCAGATGAACACAATGCGCGATGAACTCAAATCCTTACACAACCAGGTACTACAATTTGGTACATGAAATCGTATTTTCATTCAAATAGCACGTAATTAAAAAAGCAAATAACAATGCAGATAATATAAAAATAATTTGCAGGTTTCGAGATTTAGGAGAGAAAGAGATAACTATAAGCAAATGCTCGAAGCCGCACAGAAGTCGATGGCTGAGATTAAAAATGGAGACAAAAGCGCTAGAATTCATCGTAACTCAATATCCAGCACAGATGAAGTAAGTTGCCTGTCAGGATAGATATGGTACTAACTATACGATTATTGCGCATTATAGCAACTCTGCATCAACAATGGTCTTTTTATAGCTGTAGAAGTTGAACTAATATTATAATCTAGATCTGAAGTTGTTCCATTTTTGTATGCTATATAGTGGATTTCAAAACGCATCACCAGCTAATTTAAACATTGTTAATAATCACATTCCAATCGCCTATTTTAGGAAGAATATCGCAACAAAGTGGCTTTGCTGGAACAACAGGTTGCTTGTCTCGAAGATGAGCTGTGTGAATCGCGGCTACTAGCTTCAAAACTTAACACGGAGCTTGTTAGCGAAAAGTCATCTGCCGAAGTACGCCTCGCGGAAATGCAATCCAGACTAAATGAGGTAATTTCTTTTTCGAAAAAATGATTCTTAAAGTCTCTAAAGTGTCGATGTGATCTCGGCTTGTGGTTTGGGTGACGGAAAGGTTGCTTACTAAATAGTTTGACTCCACTTTTATTAAAACCACGATCCCAATACGAGAACTGATTATTTTTTATATATTTAAACACTACATCTATCGACTATGGAATCAATAATTTGAGGCTTTGAACTACGGCAAATAGAAATTTCATTCGTAAAAACCAAATCTCTGAACAGCACGTCTCGATAAAGATCGTTACGCCTACCCTAAACACCGGAAGGAAATCTGCTGACCAAGCTTTTGGAGCTTTATGGAAATACAGTCTAACCTGGATATGAGAGAATACAAGAGTTCTATTAAGGATCCTACGCTGAATTTTAACGTTACTAACATTACTGAAACACATTCTTTTATTCAGTACGAGGAAGAGAGACTATTGTCGTCGGGAAGAGCGCGCGTGGCTGGTCTCGCGACCCGAATGGAACTGGCGTGGCACAAGGAACGCGATGAACAACAGCGGCTGTTACAAGAGACGTCCACGCTCGCCAGAGACTTGAGGCAGACTCTCTTCGAAGTAATATCGTNTTTTAACGTTACTAACATTACTGAAACACATTCTTTTATTCAGTACGAGGAAGAGAGACTATTGTCGTCGGGAAGAGCGCGCGTGGCTGGTCTCGCGACCCGAATGGAACTGGCGTGGCACAAGGAACGCGATGAACAACAGCGGCTGTTACAAGAGACGTCCACGCTCGCCAGAGACTTGAGGCAGACTCTCTTCGAAGTAATATCGTCTTCTTTTGTTATTGCCTTTCTATTTCATTTTATAATTATTTTTTTCCTTATAGTCTGAACCTCTGACAAGAACATAATTTTTAGCTTTGTTATTCTCCGTTGATAACTTTATACGACTGGAATAAAAATTAATTGAGTTTTTTTCTAATCTCCATTATTTGATCGATAAGTATTTGATTGTGCTTTGCACTATTATAAAATTTACAATTAATTATGACAGTTGGAAAGAGAGCGTGAAAAAGAGAGGTTAGATATGAAGAGACGAATCGATCAGCTCAAGAGGACCACGGAGGAAGAAACTGAAGAGGCCAAGAAGAAGGTACATAATAATATATTAGTTTACTTATCACTTCATATATATGGTATGCCTTATACCAAGCTGTGTAATATCGGCTTGGAGTAGCGCCACCTCACCTCTTCCCGTGGGTGTCGTATAAGGATACTAAGAGATTCGTCCGAGAACGAGCAGCAGCGTTCTGGGTGTTATACCAGCGTAGCGCGATCGCTAACCAGCATTTGCTGATGGTTTGCATGATGCTGATGGTGAGGAATATTTTAAGCCCACATTTCTGCTGCGAAGCTATACAATGCAAATGAAATTTAAATCTCGTTTCTCAAGGTGTGTTAGTGTGCATTCACATTGTCAGATCTGTGAGTTCTGCCAACCACAACATCCAGTGGCTGGAAATCGTTCACCTATTTTCGCAATAAATAATTAAAACATAATACAGAATCTTCTAATTTTGACTAAAATTGAGTAACTGCGCACTTTTATACTACTTATGCCTTGAAATAAATTAATAACTAATGTATTTATTATAGGTGACGGAGTTACAGTGCGACTTATTGGAGTTACGCGACGCACACGCCAAACTGCGTACAACCAATGAGAAGTTGCGCCGCGATAAAGAGAGGCACGATCGAGATCGCGACCAGAACAAATTACTGGTCGCTTCATTGAAACGTGCTCAACAGGTACAATAGCATAAAATCAATGCTAAATGTTCATTTGAAATTAATTTATTAACATTTAAATTTGTTCTCCAGGAGGACGACCGGGTGATAGCACAGCTCTTAGAAACAATAGACGATCTGATGAAGCAAAGCCCTGATCTATTCCGCGTTGAAATTCCCGTTAAACCGGAGAAAACTCTGATGACACCAACACCGCCTCGTCGTAACAGGGTGAGTTCACAAAAAAACACGGTAACAACACTACAGGTGATATTCCACAAAAAAATATCTAACGTACACAATAAAATATGTTAAACGCTATCTAGTGCTAATCGGCTACAGAAGCTTATAAATACCATACCATGAATGCCTCTTCCCGTTTTGGTATATAAGGTCTAAGTCGCTTTGGACAAAGAGTAGACTAGAAAATTAAGTATATATTTATATATGTAGTTATTTTCTCTTAGGTTTAGCAACCGATCCTATTTTTTCTAGTATATGTTGACAAGTTTTTATATAATATATAATTTTTTGTAACTTCCAATTCTACACAAGACATCAGTAATAAAACTATAGATAAAATAATATAATATATATTCAAGTCTTGAAGTATGGAAGCATTTGGATCACACCCTCTACAAGCATGGCGTCGTACCTAGTACTTAATGGCCTTTTTTCCCTTTCGGTAGTCTTCGAAATCTCGTTCCCGGTCAGCAACTCCTGAGACTAACGAAGCAGCCGGGGCGAAAGATACGGCGGCCAGACTGCGCAGACTCACCGACGAACTAAGGGCTTCTCGTATCGCCGAGCGACAACGGCGACAGCAAGCCAGCGCAAGGAGGTAAAACTGTAACAATATATAGACGGGTGAATAGATATTTGGTTTAAGCGACATTGCTTCAACTACGAGTATACATTAGAGCAGCGGTCGGGGATTTTTTTTTAATTATTACCCCAAAATATTTTTGTGTAAGTTGACTGAATCGAAATCGCTTCTTTTTAGCATCTTTCATATTATAGCCCCCATGATAATTTTGAAAAGAAAACAATAACTAAAAATTTAACTATTCTAAAGAAGTTTCACTTCAATATATACTTTTTACTCACAAAAGTTTCATTTTTAACCCCCAAAATTTCATTTTACCCTATTTGGGGTAATTTACCCCGGTTCCCCGACCGCTGCATTAGAGCCATTTAAAGTTTAAAATTCGACTAACAAAAACACTTCTTAAGCTATATTTGAACGGGGTAAACTTAATTGAAGTTCAATTAAAACCATCGAACTGGTTGATACTAATACCAAATGAAACGGACCTTTGATTACAAAAAAAAACACGTGTGCAATCCACCCGTGGTAGAAGTGAAACTTTCAAAATTCGTTATTATTTTAGCATAGTAATATTCGTGCATCGCAGAATTACATTTTTATGTCTCTCTATGCGCTATTTTAATAGATTGAATTTACACGTAGGTACATATTATGAGTTAAGTGTTTGCTTTTTTCTTAATTGTAAGTTTCATTTCATCTATCATTTTTATATCAAATCCCTAAATCACTAATTGAAGGTGTACGTTGACTGTCTGTTTGTCACGATACTGTTTTATCGATGACCTAGAATGACCAAGATAATGCATATAATGACGGCATGAATGGGATTGTGTATTAGTCATAGTATAACTGCAACTAGAAAGCCCTATTTCAGAAACTACATGAAAAGGAATGTCTGGTGGGGATCACTTCAACGATAAGACCGCTCATTATACAAATCTATACATATAAATAAAATTGGAGTGTCTGTTTGTAATATTGAAATAGCCTCTTTTCACTACATGCATATGAATATATATACGGTACATACACCAAAATAACATTTTTTACAATTTTTGTCTGTCTATCTGTCTCTTTGTTCCGGCTAATATCTGGAACGGCTGAACTGATTTTGACGGAACTTACACTGATAGGTAGCTGATGATATAAGGAGTAACTTAGGCTACTTTTTTTAGAATAGCTTTGCCCCGCGGCTTTACCAGCGGTACGACAATAACCGCGGCTAACATCGTCGATAATAAAATGTAATGTTTCCGAAGCGAAGCGAGGGCGGGTCGCTAGTTATATAATAAAATACGTATTGATTAATTTTCAATGTAAATTATGTAAGTTTAAATAATAGTGTGTACTCTAATTTGAACTTACGTGTTGATTTTTAGAGCAATGTCGACGGAGCCCCGTGATACTTTGTCGGTGACGCCAGCCACGAGCCGGACCCCATCTCGGGCACCGTCGTTAAAGAAGCGATCCATCTCGCTAGAACAGACAACTAAGGAACAGGTAAAAGCTGGGAAAATAAATCCCAAATATGAGAACAATAATTTACGAATCACTGTATAAATAATTAACGAAATAATAATATAGTTGTTGGTCTCTTTCTAACAAAAAATTCTATTAGCTTATAGTCAGACGATGGTGGTAGGAACTCTTGAGAGTCCGCGCGGATAGGTACCACCACCCTGCCTATTTCTGTCCTGAAGCAGTAATGCGTTTCGGTTTGAAGAGTGGGGCAGCCGTTTTAACTATACTTGAGACCTTAGAACTTATATCTCAAGGTCCAAAGCCCACTGAGTTTCTCGCCGGATCTTCTCAGTGGGTCGCGGTTCCGATCCGGTGGTAGATTCTGCGAAGCACTGCTCTTGCTAGGGTCAGTGTTAGCAACTCTCCGGTTTGAGCGAAGTTAGGGCGAAGCTGAAATAGCCTCTCAAGGCTATCAGCATAGGTAGGAAAAAAAAAAAAAACTAGGTCCAGTAACCACTTAACACCAGGTGGGCTGTGAGCTCGTCCACCCATCTAAGCAATAAAAAAAAACACAACCCTAGATAATTTGAGCTACTATTTTAACTTCCCATCGCCCCTTGGCTATAATAATAACCTATCTTGCCCACCTAAATTAAGCCCTTCCATATATTCCCAATCTAATCAGGATCCCCGTCAACAAATTGACTGTCGTGTAGGTCACCCTACATGACGCACTGAAGTAATGATGTCGGTTTCTGTTACTCAGTGCCTGGTTTGCCTAACTTTGGCTTCTTTTGTTCTTATTTTATATTTTAGTCTTTTATGTCTCTTAGAAATAGATTCATTCTCAGTATCTTCGTATTCGACTTTCCTATAGCCTACTAGATATTCCGGCGTCTTAGTAATAGAAATCGACATAATTACTTCAGTGCCCCGCGTAGGGCACTGGTCATCTACACAGCAGTCAAAGAGGACAAGATTGAATACGCAAGACATATAGTAAAACTATGAACTAATTCAAATAGATTCATATAGTGCGCGGCATAAATAACGACAAAAGTCAGAAATTAGAACTGAAAATGTATTAAATTATTTAATTCCACATTTTTGTTTCAGAGCTCGATATGGAAGTCTGTTGATGAGAGTAGTGTGTCGTCGTTGCAATCACTGGAAGGAGACAATGATCACCGTCACTTCACTATGCCTCGGGATACCAGTCTCGACAGGTCAGTAAAATTAATTTCATTGAAACTATTACTAAGATCAATATTTGTATACATTTTTATTTAAAAAAAATTATGATGTTATTTTAAATATGTATTATATTAAATACTTCAACATTTAATTGACGAACTGGCTTGGAAGATGTGTAAAGGATCCTTCGATCAACAATAGTGATGATCGAAGAAAGGATCCGATGAAAAACTAACTATAAATTATCCTATTGATTCAACATTATTCGACATTTATTTTTACATTTGCGAACTCTATTTTCTAAATATAGTGAAAATTCTGAGCGCAACCCCGGGCAGATCTCCCCATCCTACCTGTTTCTACCGGGAAGGTGTCATGCGTTCCGTAGGGAACAGTGGGAGAGACGTATATTATAATTAAGGTTGAAGGCTGAGGTAGCTAGCGGCATTCGGTGTTGTGATTTACGGGGCACCACTTCAGACGGGTCGTGAGATCAGTCATCCAAATATGGAACGGTTAAAAAAGGAGAACCATTCCAGATAACTAAGACAGATGCATTAGATGCGTTTTTTAAAAACAACAAATCTCTTTTCAGTCGTTTATCCGGTGGGTCTGCTCAGAGTGACGTCTTACCCAACGAAAAAAAGAAGAAGAAAAGCATCTTTGGAAAATTGAAGAAACTGACTAAATCACGATCCATCGATGACCAAGCCGATCCCGAAATTGTCGATTTCAGACCTATCGGTACCGTATCGCAGGTAAATAAATATATTCCATCGTGAACGTCAAGATTAATATTCTATTAATTTCTAAAATATTAATTCTTATTAAACTTTATCAGGGCTCCGATTCCGACATGAGCACAGCTGGAAGCAAACGCGACTTACGCGGACGGCTCTCTGATATGTTCAGCAGGAAACAGGTTTCTCGCGGCAACAGGTTCGTTTGTATTTATGGATCAATATCCATACTAATATTATAAATTCGAAAGTACGCGCTTTCACGCCAATAATACTGAATAGATTTAAATGAAATTCGGTACACAGATAGTCTAGAGCCTGAGAAAGGACTCTAAAGGCTACTTAACGGTAGGCAGCGGCTTGGAACGGTAGGCAGCGGCTAGGCTCTGCCCCTGGCATTGCTGAAGTCCATGTGCGACGGTAACCACTCACCATCAGGTGGGCCGTATGCTCGTCTGCCTACAAGGGAAATAAAAAAATAAAAAAAAATACTTTTTAATGCGAAAAAATCGTTGTAAAGTGTTGAAAGGGGTGATTGAAAAGTTTTATGGAAGTATCGTCATTTTTAGAGCTAAATCCTGAAAACCCTATTTTTAGGCTGTGGATTCAATATTAATAAATATGACATTTAAAGTTTGTAAAAGTTTTACCCTGAAGAGTGTAAAATACCAATAGGAAATAGGTAATGAAAATTTGTATGGAAATATGTACATAATTTTCTCAGGTTCACATTTGTATTAAAGAAAATTCAATAAAATCAATAATATATTATAATCCCCGAAATTATAGTCGTTAGTATAGAATAAGTTTAAAACAAATAGTATTTTCATAATAAATGTTCGTTTACAGTAAAGAACTAAGTCCCGAAAGGCCAGCAAGCGCAATGGGAAGCACTACGAGCGCCTCACGTACTATACTACGCAACACGAGTACTACAACGCTGACGCGAACCTCACCCGCCAAACCGGTACGGCATTGTGCTTCAAAATTAAAATCACAATTCATTAATTATTTTTTTTAAAGGGATTTTATGACCTGGTAACTAACACCTTTAGGTTATGGCTTAGTTTAATTTACATTCTTAATTTTATGAAAAATGATAATATGGAGTGAAATTAAATTAAATGACATGAAATGAGATGAAATATAATCCCAGTAAGATGGTGGTCATTTACTGATATTTTTTCAGTGGACTTTTTGGAGGATCCCGAGAAGTTACATCCAGCGGCTTTGATTTTCCCACATTTGTGCACTTTCACAGATATTAAACAGTTAATAAACCACCGTTATTGCACATTTAAACCCGAAGAAACACTAAATAGACAAAAGAAAACAAATCACACAGCTTCACTCCCCGCGTTCCCGCCAAAAAGTCCCTTTATTTAAATACTAAATATTTCGAAAAATACCCTCAAATTTGATTCAAACATATTGATTGGTATAAATAATGTAACGTCGTTTTTTCAGAACGAATTCTCAAGTACGCGATCATCGAGTGCCACTCCGGCGACGAAAAGAAAAGGAAAATAACGGACACTCAATATTATTGTGTTGATTGCAATGTATTTTTAATTCCTAAGTATTTTCCACATAGCATGTAATATCACACATATCAGAATTTGTATGACTATCGATATACATTATAAAGTCGTTATTCGCAAAGAAAACCTTTTCAAGTACCTTTGCGTGTTGCAGATAATAATGTTATAATAAATACGTATTCACATATTCATATCCAGTAGAGCCGATGGAAATTGGGTACATAATATATCTATCTACCTCCCTTAGGTTCGCTTATAATGATATAAATTACATAAACAGAAAGCACTATAGTCTTACTTGAAGATTACGAATATAGTAAAATAATACAAACAAAATATATAACACAATCATTTACTTGTCAACAAGATCTGTTCCAACATTACGTCACCAAACATCGAGTGGTATCGATTAAGTATTTAGCAATCATTCGAATATAATTTTCAGACGATGTAAGTTATCGACTCGAATCGATAGCGCAGTTTCGATAGTTATACAAATTGGCCGCCCACTGCGTCACAGTGTAATGTGAAGTGACGTCTTATTCCCGGAGTCTTTAGTCCCTAAGTTTAATGAGCATTGAGATTATTTTGTACTATCATAAGTTCTCTTTGAAACATAGCAGTGTTTAAGATATTTTCTTGTAATTTCGTAATAAATCTGTTGAATTAAACTACATTTCTTAGTTATTACACTCGATAATTTTACAACTTATTTGAGTGAAACTTATTTATATGCTTACAAAAAAAATATCTATTACAATTTATTCATACTCGTGCACGTTTAAAAGAAAACACGATAAAACAAATACATATTTACCTAAAAACTTCGATGCATAAATGCAAAATTTGAAAACACCGTAATAATCTTACCAGCACTTTGAGAGAAGCAAAATATTATTGCACTGTTCATGTTAGTTTAAAACACATTTAGATTTTTATGATTTTTAAGTGTAGTCATTCCAACTGAATATCACGTAATTTCTCCATTAAGTTCACGTTGGCCTGGCAGGACTGCGGTGAGTCCCGGAGAGACGTTTGTGAGGTGCTTGGCTAGCTTTGGTCCATGAGGTTCGAGTCCAGGCCGGCCGCCCCGCTCGAATCCTTCAGGATAGACTCGAAGATCGGCTGAAGCTCGGGCAGTGATCGAATTTGAGTCACGAAGTCCATAAGATGAGGATTTTTATCTAAAGAAAATTATTTACAATTGGCTTTTAAAATGACTTTTGGTTTTTTATTTGTTCGCTGATCGATGATCAGATTGAGTTGCCTTGTCAATATATAAAGCTAGGTTAACTCTATTTCCTACCTATTCACTGATAGCCTAAAGGCGCTAGTTCAGCTTCGCGGGGACGGGTAGGTGAGCTCGCGGGCTCAATTTGAGAGATATGCTAACACTAGCCCTAGCAAGAGTAGTGTGTCACAGAATCTACCACCGGACCGGCATCGCGACCCACTGGGAAGGTTCGACGAGAAACACAGTGGGATGTGTCTATGAGTTAGTTCAATCGTCAAAACCGAAGAGTTTAACGAGGACTGTGACCGGTGTTTGACAAGCCTAAAATCACTGGGAGTAGTTCCGGGAGATCCGACAAGGCATATTTAGGGCGATGGCAGCTTTGTGTCTCATGGTTTGGATATGGTTCCGTTTGAAAAATGGAATTTATACAGGGTGTATTAAAATGGCTTTCAAAACAGAAAACAACATTACTTAAATAACAACAAGATTTGTTGTTACGCGAGATGCACTCTAGGGGGAAACACGAGATTATTTTATTATAATTTATTTATTTACCCTGTTGGCTTTAAAAATTTTAAAATTTAACAAATAATAGTATTGAACAATAATGATCAAGGTAAGTCTTAATCTTACCTGCTTCTGGAATCTGCATCAAAGCAGCGGTAGCGCGGAGGGCGGACCGTTTCAATTCATCTTGTTTTTCATATTCTTGTTTCACGGAATTAGCTTTGACTTTCATTGTACACGTCGCTCTCAACGGTTCCACTAGACTTTCTAACCCTAAGATCAAAGAACAATCGTTAATAACCTAAACCATAAACTAAAATACACAATCAAAGAATATATTAGTAAAAATACAGCTAATTGTAAATTATTTGAAATTAGGAGGGTCTCTTTTGCGCCTTGCACCTGCTGTTTACGAGTGAGATTTTTCATTCATTCTCAACATAATTTTGAAAGACATTCTTAACGAATTGATGTCTAGAAAATTTTAAAATAAATACTGGACGTTATAGGAGGAATTGATATCATAAACTAACATAACTATCTTAAATTATAACTTGAATTAAAGAATCATAATAAACTATCTTTACAGTTTTTGTGGTCACGTATTAAACCGTTTTAAACCGTAAAAGTGGTTTTAATCATGTTTACGGACTTGCGAAAACCGAAAAAAAAATATTTATTGCATAGTGTGGTGAAATTAGTGTCATCTTAAAAACTTTGCTTGTGTGCGGTAAATTGAAAAAATGCGAGTGTGAGTCCGCACGGGTAGGTACCACCGCAGCACCTATTTCTGCCGTGAAGCAGTAATGCGTTTCGGTTTGAAGGGTGGGGCAGCCGTTGTAACTATACTTGAGACCTTAGAACTTATATCTCAAAGTGTGTGGCGCATTTACGTTGTAGATGTCTATAGGCTCCAGTAACCACTTAACACCAGGTGGGCTGTGAGCTCGTCCACACATATAAGCAATAAAAAAATAAATAAAAAAAAGGATATGAAATAAAACTGATTATTTTCTAAAGCAGTGTAAAATTTAAAATATTATCTTCTGAGATATATTTTAGTGTTAATTAGCAATTGAAAATTACTGAAATTATTATAAAACGGGTGTAGGTATGCCTCAAAACTACATGTATATAAAAAAACGTATTTGACAAAATATGCGACATGTGCCCCTTTCGAAATTGCATATTCAGTTGTACTCACTCTGCAGCACGACGGCCGGACACAGCTGCGCCAGGCGAGCACACATGAGGTACGTCAGCATCTTGATGTCGTAGTGGTCGCGGAGTCCGTCCTCCACGTGGCGCAGGAACTCGAACACGTCGAGGCGGTCCAGGCACGTGCCCAGCAACGTGTACATGCACTCGAAGGCCGCCTTACGGAGATCGAGACCGTCGTCCACCGAGTGCTTGAACGGGCCCATCTCCACTTCACGAATCAGTTCTTTCTGTGAATAGTATTAACGATTTATTAGGCTACTTGTAGAAGCAACAGTTTATTGTGACGTAGGCTCCTCAGCCTCCAGTGTAAAGAAACAATTAAATCAGCACAAAATCGTTATAGAGGTAAAGGTAAGAGGTGTGAATGACGATATGAGAGAGAGAGAGAGAGAGGAGTGAGTGTCGAGATGATGGCTGATAGAAGAGAATGGAAATGAAATGAAATGTGCCGACCCCACCTAGTGGGATAAGGTGCAGAAAAACAAAATTGTCACGTTATAGTGTTGTCACTGATATTGGGCTGAGATATTGAGATATTAAAAGTAATTGTCAATTTAAATTTGGCTGTAAAAGATTAGATGGTAGGAAAGATTTGGTGGTAAGACCTCTTGTGAGTCCGCGCGGGTAGGTACCACCACCCTGTCTATTTCTGCCGTGAAGCAGTAATGCGTTTCGGTTTGAAGGGAGGAGCAGCCGTTGTAAATATACTTGAGACCTTAGAACTTATCTCGAGGTGGGTGGCGCATTTACGTTGTAGATGTCTATGGGCTCCAGTAACCACTTAACACCAGGTGGGCTGTGAGCTCGTCCACCCATCTAAGCAATAAAAAAATGTTAATAGTACAGCCCCTCTCAGCTATATTGATAATCTATGCACTATAATTTAATAACGTTTTTCTCATTTATAATAGATCTTAGCGGCCCAAACAACAGTAACACCAGGTGGGCTATGATGAGGGTAGGTGAGCGTAGAGATACCTTGACTTTGGTTTCAGCGTAGATGGTGGGCAGCACTTGCGGCAACAGGTCGCGGACGAGCGAGGGCTTGTTGTGCGCGGCCGAGTTGAAGGCGACGAGCGCCACGCGCCGCACGCCCAGCTCCGCGTCCCGCAGCGGCACCAGCAGCTCGCACATGCAGCCGCGCAGCAACCCGTCTATGGCTTGTGGCTGCGGACACCGTCGACCCCTCATTTTTTTAAAGGAATTTTATGACCTGGTAACTAAGACCTTTAAGTCAAGACTTATTTTAATTTATATTCTTATTTTTATGAAAAATGATAATACGGAGTGAAATGAAGTGAAGATGATTAATTTGAGACATTAATCAACTGGGATGAATTTAAATGAAATGAGATGATATGGGATGAAATATAATCTCAGTAAAATGGTGGTCATTTACTAAGATTTTTTCAGTAGACTTTTTGGAGGATCCTGAGAAGTTACGTTCAGCGGCTTTGTTTCATTTTCCCACATTTGTGCACTTCTACAGATACTAAACAGTTAATAAACCACCGTTATTACACATTTAAACCTGAAGAAACACTAAATAGACAAAATAAAACAAATCACACAACTTCACTCTCGCGATCCCGCCATAAAGTCTTCGGACCCCTCATACGCACTTACAGCCCGTTCACACATGGTCTCCGTGTATACGGTACCCGTTTTAACGGATACGACAAAAGATTATGCTTTGTTCACACATAGGCACCGTATAACGGTCAACGTATCCGTCATTACTGGATACGATGTTCGCAAGCAAATTCGTAGTATACCGCCGCTATTCTACCAGGATGAAACTTGTTTGTCTAGCTGCACCGCGCGCCGACCCTCTCACCCCCGCACAGTTTCTATCCGGTAAAATTGTACGGAAACATGACGGATACGTATTCCGTTCATTCAGTATTCGATGACAAAACGCAATGTCATAATTTACCGGATTGTTTTTATTTACTGTGTGAGGTTTATTGGGTGATGACGGAGGAGGAGGCGTGTGCGTTGGTTGTTTGTTGCGTGTTGTCCTCCATAAACCTCATCAGAGTAGACAATAAAACGCTACGTATAATTATATGTTTATTGGCGTCAGCGACCGCGGTGGATCGCTACACGTTAACCACTGACTGACTAAAATATGCTGCTCATTACTATATGTACAATAACTGCATAGTAAGCTAAGCTGGGCGGGGTATCATTCCCCTACAACTGTATACTGAATACTGTCCCATATGTGAAGTCACTCATACAACTCCATGCTCCATCGATGAAAAAAAAACGAATCCGACAAAA